GCAGGAAACACTACAGTACATGAACCAGCGCATGCCATGTTTGTTTATGTTAACTGTCCGTATTCTATATAGAACAGTACAACAGTGGGGAGGTTTTACACATCTGAGAAATATACAATTACCTTAATCCATTGTCTCATGGTACAAATGCACAAATTGCTAAGAGGGAGTGAGAAAGGGGGGGGATTAAACTGTTCCTGATTTTGTTGTGGGTGGGAGGGGGGGGGCTGCTGAGTCCCCCCCAAGGAACCCCCTTGGGGACCCACCATTACAGAAAAGACCAAAGGTGGTGTATATGCATCGCCTTACCTTGTTGACGTCCCCTTCCTGACATCACACATCATGCACTTAAAAGCCTCTGCCGTGTTCTTGTACGTGCACACGCTGCAGTCCCAGAACCCCTCGTCGGTGGAGGGCTTCGGTTGACGCTTCGGCCTTTAAAAACAATAAAATGTACCAACAAAAAGGGAGGGGGGGGGGAGAAGGAAATTAAAAAAACGTAAAGAGATGGTGGGAGAGAAGAAGAAGGGGGGCGAGAGGAGACAACAGTGTATTCAGCTCGCATCTACGAAGGCTATCGATAGCAAACATCTGGGTAAGCCTATAGGATTTATGAAAATCTGCAAGCGCGCTGTGATCCGACACTGTAATTGGCGATGAGGTTTTAACACCCGCGCGCACACATACACAACCCGCACGCGAACACAGACACATGCAGTGAGAGAGAGAGCGGAGGGAGGGAGAGAGAGAGAGAGAGAGAGAGAGACCGTGGAGAAAACCCATTTTTTTTTCGTGCGCTTGTCGATGTCCGCTCCCCGCTCCTAGCTTGAATATCTGGGACACAATCACTCGGTCGTTACCTTGTGGGACTCCTCTTGTCGCCCATACCAGACCAGGGTTTATCTGGAGGTGCTGAGACGAGTAGAAGTCTTGTTATTTCCAGTAATTTTAGCAAAGAAGCGATGCGCCCGTGCCGCTCGGCTTCCAGCTGTCGTGGAAACTCCGCTTGGGAAAGGGTCACGTGACTCGCTTTAGCCAATCAGAGGCTGGGTTACTTCCGAGGGCTGACATTCCTCTTGATGAATATATGCCGCCTTCTGGTACCCGTTGTAAGCTCGTACTTCTGTAAACTGAGCGTGTTGGAGATTAATAACATCATACGAATTGGTTATTTTGACAAACGTGACCCGTTAACAAGCGTTTCTTACGCCGGCTAGCCGTATGTACCCATGTTTGCACACCGTCAATCGGGAAAAATAATTCTAAAAAACACATCCTCATGCTGTTTGATTTAAAAGTCCTTGCCACATTATTGATTCACTGTGAATACGAATAAAATATGTAGTGGCTCATGCAAAACAGAACACGGAACATACAATTAAAATTAGGATTAACGTTCTGTACACATAACAGCCTACAGTAACTAGTTAAATTAATGATTGTACTGCGTTTACTGCATACTTTGACTACTAGTGGTCGCATCTCAGGGAATTATATTTCTTTGCAACTATTACCTCTGTTTCATAGACTGTGTAAATCCATTATCCTCGTAACGAGAGCAATAGCTTGTTAATTTCCGAAAGCACTTAAATGCAACAAAAGCCATAGAAGATAATGTTGCGTCTGCAGCAATGTGTTAACCGCTCTTATCGGCTCACTCCACTGGGAATTGTCTCATAGCCCTGCATCTTTGGATTTGACTCGCAGCCTGCAGAAATGCCGCAGCCGTTTAGATCACAAGCGGGCACATTAAATATCGGGGAATCCCTCGCTTTATTTGCGTGCAGACGCAAGCGAGCATCAGAAAAACACATTTCCAAGCGAACCACAACGTTGACTCTCATCTATCTTCTGCTTTTTTTAAATGTAAGGCTAAAATTAGGGGCCGCAGGGACGCTCAAACCTTTTCATATCAACTGGTTCTTCATTCTGTTCCGACGACTAGACTTCAATGATGCATTATGGTGATGCAATATTTAGGATTTACACACACTGTCTGCAAGGAAGTTCAGAATTGGTCATCCCAGTGTCGCCCATCGTTTAATCCTTGTTGAAAATGTACCAAGTAGAAAAAATGGTCATATGAAATACACAACCTTATGCTCAACAGTAGACTATAAAAAACGCTTTTGACATTTTATGGACAAAATTTGTTTTATGTAAAAAAAAATAGTCCAACCACTAAATTGATCAATGATTAATAAAAATGGATATTTCCAGCATCAGCTCCCAATTATTTCATCGAGCTAAGAAAAGTAGTAAATTACCTTCTTCAGGATTCTTTATCTGATTCTGCATTTAACACTCAATCAACCAACAATTGTTTTGGTTTGTCAGTAGGAAACAAGGTTTTATTGACTGACATAGAAAAAAGCACACACATTCAATCAACTATTACAGTATTTCTGGAAACAGAAAAAAAATGTCTTAGTTCTATATACAAGAAGAAAAAAAATCATGTTTTATCAGTATAAATGGAAGCATCCCAACTATAACACAATTCAATTAAAAAATAAAAAATAAAGCACTATTTGACAAACAACGATGTCCAACTTGTGTATTATTGTTATTATGCTTAGTCACTAAGCTCCTCCTCGTCGCTGAAGTATGCACTCTTTTTGATCCTTGGTTTCTTAGAGTCTGAGGATGTTGAAGCGCCTTCCTCTTGAGACACACGTGCCTGCTTCCTCTGCGTCTCCTCTTCCTCGATACGCTCTTGCTGGAGGGTCACAAAAGACAGAAGAGATATAACAATGCGAAAAGATCAAAAGTCATAAAATATCAAAGTATAGTGTGCTATAGAAATGTCATAAAAAGGTCATAATATAGCATGTTATATGGGGGAGTGAGTATGTCGCATTTTTCATAGAGGTATCTATTTTGGATTTCTATATCTACACACTTACCTGAAAAGCTATGGCTTGGCTCAGACTATCTAAGGTTGGGTCTTCTCCCTCTTCTTCACTTTCTTCTTCCTCTTCTTCACTATAAAAATGGAAAAGATGGAGGAATCAAAACAGCACAATTTCATGTACAATATCTCACAATATCAGCTATTTAAGACTTACACATGCTCAGGTTGTTCAGCCTTTTTCTTTTTTTTCTTTTCTTTCTTCTTCGGAGGTTCCCTCTCTCCCAGAATGTTTTTGGGGCACGCGTAGCTCAGATGACCGGTGTCCTGTCATGTTTCATTTAAAAAACACACACAGTCAGACAACTCTCTCTGGGATACTCTTTTTTTTCCCATTCAGGGCAGAAATAAAGATTATACTTGCAACTGTAATTCAATAAAACTTAATAATCTCACAAGATAAAATGTTTACTATGCACTCACCCCACATTCGTAACATTTAGTCTTGTCTGTATAGTTCCGTCTTTTTATGAACTCTGTTGCTCGCCCATTGTCTACGGCAATGCTCGCTTTCACTGTTCTGCCAAACAACTGGGAGACAAACACATTAGAAACTCTGACAAGTGAACATCAGACACAACACAAGCGGTAACGTACAGTAACGTGAACACTGGTGGTCTTAATGTGACGGACTCACCTGCTTATTGTTCACTGCTCGTGCACAGTTATGAGCCGATTCTCTGTCCAGGAAGAGAACAAACGCTACTCCTTTACTCTGGCGAGTATCTTTATCCTTAACAATTGTAACCCTGCATGAAGCATCACAGTTATTAATACCTACATAACTATTACAAGTCTTCAGAGCCTTTAACAGAATGTTGTGGGTTATTCATTCACTACTGTTTGGCTTACACATTGCTGTAAGATATAAATAATACAAAATAAACTATGAGAAAGACATTACTTACTTTACAACCTTTCCATATTTGGTGAATAGCTGAAATGAGACAAAGTTATGTTTCAGTAAGGAAGTGGCCTGGATTCAGAGACCACGGTGGAATTTGACTCTCACTTGTGTTTTAGCCAAATAAAAGCATTATTAACATGTCATAACACTGACCACAACATTGTTGTAGGAGTGATGAGGAACTAACCTTGTGTATGTCATTGTTGGTGAGAGAGAATGGCAGGTTCGACACATACACGGTGCTTTTGCTTGGTGCCAAACCCCCGCTCATACTGGACGAATATGGCACACTGAAAGACAAAAAAGAAGCCAAATAATCCTAAAAAATAGGTTAATGCACAACTAGCTACTTTGCTAGTTTGGTAAGTCCACCATTCATGTCGCGTTACAAATTGTAACGTAACTGCAAGCAGCAGAATAAATTAAACGACTTACCTACACAGCCTCCAACGTTTGTATAATATATTAATGTGTTTATACTCGTAGATTTATGTGTATTTGTAAGAAGTTGACGTTTAGCAAAAAGAAACAAACGCCATGTCTGTACGTCGCAGCTTTATGACGTGTGCTCACTCCTCGTCCAATAAAATCAGACGTTCTACATGTAGCTCTCCGAGAAGGCTAAGCTAACCAAGCCATAGTAGAAGGTGAGATTGTTTTGTCAATTTGCGTGGAGTACATCACCTTTTAATGTGGGTTATTCAGCACATATTGATCTAGGAGATGCAATATGTTGCCGTATATAGTTGTTTGTGATTTTGTATGTCGGCATAGATTAGTTAACTTGTTCTCGGATGAAATAAAACGTGCGGATGTTTGCAGCATACATGGAGGCGAGCTAATTAGCAACGCTAGCTGTCTGTTCTACGTGGAGCTACAGTAGTTAGTAGTTAATTCACCATCAAAGGACACATTGCTGTTGTTTGTGTAACTTATTGGCTGTGTGTTATCGAGCTAGTGTTACGTTTAATACGGTGTTGTTGGTCAAACGTACGACAAGCTAGTCTGCAGAAAGAAACCTCAGCCAGCTCAGCTGTTGGATCACATCCCATGGTCCAGCAGTACTCCCTGTGTTGTCTTAAGTAGAAAATATAAACCTCAATATTTCCACGTTTTTGAAATATCTGATAACCGATTGATGGGCTTGATTATAGAGATTCTCTCCTAAACGGTTGCATGACAACTTATTCCATGTGTATAGACTTGACACTGTTTAAAAAAACAAATCTTTTTACAGATTTTGTTGAAGATTGTATTTTCTCTATATCACCCCGATTCTCAGAGGCCCTTGAGTCCAAAAGTAAGTTGGTGATCAACCTTTGCCTTTACAGTCCACTCATTTAACACTGTTTTGTTTTACGCTAGGACGACAACACAAGAGATCTAACACAAATAATACCGCATGCAAGATTTTTGACAATATTCAGAGCATTTCTATATTAATTGTTGCAGTGTACACCTGAGGTCCAAACCAAAATGCCTTGAGGAAAGTTCTGTCCAGTCATCAGATTAGATATAAACCATCATTCTCTGTTCTTGCATATCTTGTAATAACGTCTGCTGTCCAAAGAAGTTGACATGAACAAACACACCGTCGATGAACACAGTAACTAGTTTTCATTATTTATTTTGTGGAACCACACCTGCACGGTTGCATGTACGAACGTAACGTTACATCATCTCTCACTGTCTGCCTTTTGCAGTGACGTACAGGAGAGACAGGAGTATCCGAGAGGTGTATGATGATCGCTTTTTGGCAGAGAGACCGGTGAGTGTGAACATAGTGACTGCACATAAAAACACAAGTACATAGATGTATTTGTCTTCCAAGCAGCCTGGATACATTATTTTATTTATATATATATATATATATTGTACCCATCCTCGTAGGGTCCTTACCCACGGGCAGCTGGGGCAGCGGAGAGAAGGGCCCCCTTTGGCAGGCCGGAGGACGACTATGGCCGCGGTGGTGGCGGCGGCGGTGGCTACGAATACGAAGGAGGTCCGCGCTTTTTCCCAAATGGAGGCCCACGAAATTATCATGAAGAACAGAGGAGCTACCACGGTGGTGACAACCTTCATTTCTCTGCCGAGCGCAGACCTGTTCCGCCTTCAAGGAGGGTGAGAACATAAATGTCATAAAAGTAACATTGTGGTTAGGAACTTCCAAAGACTTGTTTCAAGTTTAGTTTATTTATAGAGCACATTTAAAAAAAGAAGTTGAACAAAGTGATTTTAAAAAAAAGCTGTAAAATATATTGCTAACATAAATGCAACCAGAACATGATAGGAGGCCAAAACAAGAATGAGATAATCATAATTAAACACGGGCCAAGAAGTTAGCTTTGAATGTCAGAAATATTAGCAGCTGCCACTTTACAAAGTAACTGTTGAGTTACATTGATAAACAAACTCGTCACACAGATTGTACGTATTTTATTTTTGTCATTGTGCTCCCTGTTTTTCATATATGCTTTAATTAACAATACTATTAATACTACTACATGCGCCAGACTGACTAACTGTACATACATTTACACCAAAGGTCTTAAACGTGCTGCAGACGTATTACAACTGCATGTCATGTTAATGTTGTTGGTTTGAAAGCTACGCTCATAATTGGCCAGCTGGGGGCGCTATAGTTGAAGGTTCAAGTTGAAATATTTTCAAGCCTTTCCTTTTTGCAGTCGTTTTCTGTTCATCTTTTATAGCTGATTAACTAACGTAGTGACTTTTCCTGAAGACACGTTCTAAAATTCACTAAAAATTATATATTGGCATCCATATTTATCAGTTTGATGGTCATGAATCCATGAGCTGCTATTACAGGGGCAAGTTTCGATGTATGGAAGTTACACGAACCTTTTAAAATCAAAACTTGCATCATTGTCCGTAGCTTCAGACTGATTATTTATAACTAGGTTTCATAACACCTATATTTTAGGACATAATCAAATCATTTGATTGACATTTTCTTCCTTGTGTAGGAGGAGTACCCTTACAGAGGACCCAGGGAAGACCAGCACCCAGGACGGCCTTTGGAGTTTAAGTAAACTGCAGCTAATATTTCTTCCATAAAATACCGAACCATTTTTCAAAGTAAAATCACTCATTAGATTTAGATGTTATCATTATGAATAGCTGGGGAGTTGTACAAGTCCTCTGTGTTTTACTCCTTTTTAATTAGACTAAGAAGGGCGGTGCTGCAGGAGCAGGCCTCTATTCTATCTTTGTTTGAATAGCAGCAATTATCAATCAAGGTCTGCCCCGACCCATATTGGCCCGTCTCACCCTATTCACAATCCTGGCGCTCCACACCCACCTCTGCTGACCTGTTGTAACTGAACGGTGTCTCTCGATCGGATTGCAAATATTTAGGCTACTGATTGTTGACAATATTCACTCAAAACCCTTGGCCGTGCTTCCACTCAGGCGTTTTGGTAAAACTTATGTCACAGTTTGTTAACGCTCAAAGCCACAGCCAAATGATCACAGTTGACATCAAATGCAGTCGTGAATTTACCTGCTTGTAATGTTGGGCATCTAAGGCTTTCAGCTGAATAACATATATAACAGTGTGTTGGCCAGGCATAGAAATACATAAATGGCAATAATATTAAGGGGAAAACCGGCCATTTGTCAATGAAAGGCATTACCAAAGTGAGCCCCCCCCCCCCCCAAAAAAAAAAAAACAATTTTTAAAGGTGTGCTGAAGTACAGTAAAACACTAATGGTGCATTTGCATGGTGGGAAACACTCATCCTTCTTGGTTATTGAGAACATTGATTAGGTTTTCACATCGCGCCTGTGCGGTTTGACGCTGCCAAAAGTAGTTTTTGAGTTAATATTTGACTGCTGATTGAAATTCACATATAAAACAACAAAGGTGTGAAATACGATAACACAACCTGCCATGATACTCGATGCTCTGCGGTCTTTTTATGATCACTCCATCTGAAATCCCCTCATTAGCATATACATTGACCGTTGGTCGGGGGCCAAACTTAAACATGAACTGTTGCAGGACAGAAAGTCTCACAAGATTCCCCTCTTAGCAGGCAGACAGAGAAATGAAGGCTTTCACTCCAAGCTAACATTTAGAGTTGTGAAAGGGCACTGAGGTCAGTTCCGGCCTGTTGATTGGTGGGTTTGGCGTGGGTGAAGGTCAGAGGTCACCTGAGAGTGAGACGTGGTGGGTAGCTGGTAAAAGGTTTTGCTCAATGCATGTACAGGTTTATTTTCCCATTCAAGAAGGTTTTGTTCTTGTGAAGCATGAACTAAATGCTCCACACAGTTGATTATTATATGACCTTGTGACCACACATTAAACATTGGATCTACCGTATAATAAAACCTCCAGCTTCTCATGAATATTTAGACCCTCTGGGAAATCCGTTTGCAATCACGATAAGTGTCGCCTTTCTTTTATCTTTCTTTTCGTGTTCTCATGCATTAGCATTGATATTTTAGAAGTAGATCCTCGATATCAAAGCCAGACTGGCGTTCAACCCGGATATTGTTTGAAGTCGGGTTAGGATCCGGACAGAAAACCGAACCGACTGAAGTGGTTTAGTCTGCATTTTTAGATCTCATCTGGCTATTGGATGACTTCCACCGCTTATATGGTAATATGTTATGTGTGAAGTCATAACCATACTTTGCTAAAGGAAGAAGAACATGCTCATAAATTGTCACCAGGGATAAGGGTGCATACATAATTCTGACAGCACGGGTATTTTAAGGTTGTTTGAATAAGGTGAAATACAAATTGACCAAATGGTATTGGTCGCCATGTTGTTCAGCATGTATCCGCAACCGACCGCAACATTTGTGTGTATTTATTCCCTCAGCAACCGTGCCCCACCACCTCACAACGTGCGAAACCAGGGCATCTACCCACCGCCCCGATCGCTCCCAGAGAGCGGCGAAGACACGCTAGTGCAAGCCATCCTCAACCTGGACCGAGGGTACGAACGAATGCATGCTTCATCTCCTCAGAGGGCTTTCATGTGCAATCATTGCAGCCTTTTAATGCTGCAGTCAGAGAGGAAGTGAAAACTCATAGGGTCAGAGTAAAAACCTGCATGCGTGCGTGTGTGTGTAGTCCCCAATGCTAGATGGCAGTGTTGTGCTACGTTGGCACGAAAGAGGAAAGGGACAAGTGGTTGCGTTTACTGCGACGTCTGGTCCGTGACTCGTTTTCCCCTCTTGCTTTTTTTCCAGGGAGGACCCCTACAGGAGGAAGGTGGCCCCGTTCCCCCCGCTCAGAGAGCGGTCTCCCGTGCGCCGCGAGGTGGCCCGTTCCCCCCAAAGTCGCTCCGGCTCCAGCGTCAGCAGCAGAGGAGGCTACTCGCCAGACAGAGCCAAGAGCCTGCCATTTCCCTCGCAGCAAGACAAGAGTATGTAGAGTCCTTGGAGTTCCCCCCCCCCCCCCTTGTGGTCCATCCTGTCTTCATCTTCCTAGTATTGTCAAACATTCATGGTCACTGCCAGCTGTTGTAACGTAAGCCACGACTACTTTATTGGCCATTTAAAAATGATGATTTAGGTCTTTACAGATCAGGTTTTAACTTCTGGACAATCGCCCCCAAAGATGTACATTCATTGCCAAGACCTTTTTTTTTTTTTTAATGTCACTGTCTTATCCATGACTGATAATCTGGCTGGCTGGCTTTTCAGATGTGGATGGTCCAGAGGGGGTTTCTGAGCACCTTTGGGGGGCGCTCTTTCCTCAACAGAGTGGACATGAAACTTTGGGTCTGTACATTGAGCCATGTGAACAAGCTTGGACCTGGGTGACCGTAAGCTTGATGCATTGTTCCTCACACATCTCCTTGCATCCTTGTCATGTCGGAGCAATGTTAGAAGGAGATGTTGTGGCTTTCTATGCTCGAAAAGATGTCGGCCACTAAGTCACGAGAAGGAGGACGGAATGAATTGATTATAAAGTATAATATAACCCCTCAGAGTAATTGACCACGATAAACTCCGATGTCCTATTTGACACTGAAATTGTTTCACTCAGGTCTGAAGTAAGTTGCATCATGAATTCTGTTTATTTATTAGTTCCTAGTAGTGACTTTGCTGTATTGGATTCCCTCCTTCCTAAACCATTTCTACTCTGTTTGTGGAGGTACATCAGCACTCTCCATGGTTCCTACACTGGTCTGTAAATGTACGCCGCCATTTAAATTTCTAGGCTTGGAGATTAAGTTTTTAAAAGTAATTAAACAGACCAGCTGAGCAGGTGTTACCCTGATGCTGTGTAGAACATTACTCTCCCTTCAGTTCTGAGTCATTAGGCACAACACTGTCTGGAAATAACACATTTGATGAGGGTAGAGTGAAGAAAGGGTAGACTTTACGGTCCGTATCAAAGCTGTATTTCAAAGTACTTATATGCAAGCATTAGGACACGCAGCCTCTTTTAATGCCTGTTTGCATCGCAGGTTTTTATTTTATTTCAACTATTTATGTTACTGACATCGGACATTGACTGTGCTAAGTTTACATAACTAATTTCCCAGCATGTCGGCAATACAGCTTTGATTAACTGGACTGTAAAATGCATGACTGCTAGTGTAACCTTTGTTTTCTGCATGTTTTTATACATCTCTACCTCCTTATTTGCACAAGTAGCACATTGTTATTTAGGTCTGCTACCATCTTCAGGGCCAGCCTTCGCTCCTTTTTTCAAATTTTTAATTTGATTGGTGCTTTTTACTCATGAAGTTAGCTCAGTAGACCTTAGAATTACAAGTAGACATCATGTGACAAAAGACTGTTTCTACATGTGTTTGATCCCAACCTCTTGAAAGGAGAACATAACATCATTGATGTTTTATAGCGGAGCATTCGGGCAGTGAGTGGTCTTGCTAGGTTGACTTTTTTTCAGAGCAGGATGACTTGCAAGTACAGTTCAGAATAGTTGTGGACAGCATTGGAAAGTGGTTTCACCATTAAATGTAAGCGCTACACCTACACGGTACAGCCTCTGTGCCAGTTCTTTCAATTGATTCTTTTTTTTTTTTTTCCCAATGCAAATGGACGAGGGCGAGATGAAATTACATGCAGCGGGGTTGTTTCAGAAATATACAAAGGTTACACTCGTTAAACTTAACCTATTCCCAGGCTGGGTAACCGGAGAGACACGGAGTGGTCTGTAATGTGTCCAGCAGCCAGCCTTCCTCCCCGCTCTGTCTGCCACTTTGTCAGGCCTCATAAAGATGCCACCAAGTCGTGTGTGTGGACGAAGAGGGAGAAGGGGTATAGGATGTCTGATGGATATTCCTGAAGCCAAAGCTTCCACATCGGGGTGTTTTTGTTTCATAGAGGGGCTGCTCGGAGCTCGTGTTTGTTGGTGTAGACTTGATTGGTCGGCTGCAAAGCCTTGGATGGACTATAGGAGAAGTGTGAGAGGAGGTTGTGTCTAGTTTGGAGCGCGATTGCGAACCATCTGTGTCTTGATTTTTCCAGATGTTCTAGCCTCTGTACCCATCCGGATCCTGGATCCAAACATCAACACCTTTACAGAGCCCTGATAATCATAAACTCATACTCACTAACTGTCGGGACATACTAATTGTCCTTTTTCCTTCCTCTCATTTATCCTCATTCCAAATATATATATATATTTTTTTTTCCTCATGTTATTTTGCACCTCACTCACGTCTCACTTTGTCAAACTCTCTTTTTTGTCTTTTTTTTTTTTCTCATTTCTCCAGACAAAATTCCTGGCCTGTCAAGAGAGGGCTCCCCACACAGCGCAACCTCAAACAAGGTACAAAACTGCAATACTGCTTGAATTTGACTTTAAAAGTTGACTCCAACAAGCAAAAATGCAACACAAGCCGTTGTTTCTTTTTGAAAATATACGCTTTTTGTCTTGTATTGTAAATACAGCAATTCAGCCCCAAAATGTCCTGTTCTGTTTTATTATACATCGTGGGCTCTGCCTCTTGTCACTGTACAGCAGGATGCATCTGGAACTTCTTAAATTCCATCCTTCTAATAAGTGCTTAGTCCCATTCAAGTATGTTAATGGATTTTAAAGTGGCCCTCACGCAGAGCATAAAAGCCATCGGGCCTATGCTTTGTTTACCTGTGCTGTAAGCAGACTTCAATCACAAGAACCTGCAGCGATGGAGGGGGAAAGGGGCTCAAGTGTCGACGAAAGTACGAGCCGCGCTTCCTTAAAGTGCTCTTTTAAACAAGAAATATATAAATACTTTTACTGGTTTGAGTAAGTATTGAATGTAGATCCCTCCTGCGCGTTTTGCAAATGACTGCTGATATCATCCATCTCTGCAGAGTGTAAATAGAATCAGATGTGATTAGGCGCAATGCATCTGGCTACGGCCACCCAGAAGTGAAGAGGCTAACTCGGTAGCCAAAGTCCCAGTTTTATCCTAGGATCTCGGTCCCTGACTAGCCTCCCTGTGGAACTCATTGGGGTGTGTTTACACCGTTTACAATGAACAATCATTTCCTTTTTTTTCCTGTTGAAGGGTCTGGCTGACTGTGTCATGGTAGCTGTGGCATGTTGGGCTCTTTGATATCTTTTGTAAATCCATGCGCTTGCTTTATACTCTAGAAATTACAAGATACAGAATAGAAACATAGTCCTCTCCTCCTTTTATGTGCATTTTTTTTTTTTTTGGTAAGAACCACCCACCATCACCCAATCAACTGCTGTGATGAAAGTTTTAGAGCCCCACCGCTCCACACACACACTGATACACACTGCTGCGTTTTGCCGTTTGATCTGGCCTGTGGTGCATTGTTTCTTCTTTGTTCTGGGGGCACAAACCCGTAACCTTGGCTAAGATGAAAGGCCCGTATCCCCCCCCCACAGTAAAGCTTGCACTCAAGGCCCCCCGGCCACTGCCTGCTGTGGGGATTCAACAAACACACTCGCAGGCTCCGTGGAGCCATCCCAGACAGAGGAGGGGGTCTAAAGAGCACCGCCGGCTGTGGTCAGAGAGCACAACCTGTAACTGAAAAGGTCGCCAGAAGGTTTCATCCCCTACACGAGGCATCGGGTCCCTGTCATTACAGAATTTCACCAACACGAGATAATTGCCGAGATTTCTTTGTGATGGTTCACCAGACCAAGCAAGTTCTTTAGGTCTAAAACCTTTTTTTTTTTAAATAGATTTTTAGTATTTACATTGAAAAGAGATTACCCATACTTCCCGATTGATGACATTTTAGTCCAGTTTGCACAAAATAGATCTGCCAAGCTGTCTAACATGCCTTCCGGGTCGTGCTGTGCCCAGCGAGATGTAGTGAAAGACTCAGACGGGGATATTTCCTTCACTGACGAAACGTACATCCACGAGCGTACACGCTGGACTCCTCCCGAGCATAGCTTCAGGGAGAGAATAGGACGGAGGGATAATTGGATGATGCTTTATGAGTTGCGCCACACTCAGCTTCGTGATGCACCGCCCCCTCCCCCTTGTGACGTCTTTCCTCATTCATCAAGAGATTTAATATTGTGACTTAGTCCGTGGCCTGTTTCCCTGTAATGTATGAGTGGACTTTAGTCATGGCTGGGCAGTTCTGCTCCCTGGCCTTGGAACTCTTAATAGTATCAGGAAATGAGCAAAAGAAATTGTGCGGTGATCCAAGTTGGCCTCATTTCTCCCTTTTTTTTTTTTTTCTCCTTCTTTTGGCTTTCAACATTCATACTTATGGGCACGAGAGTTTCCAATCTGTCCATTAGGTGGCTCATCGTGGCTTGCCTTAGCCAGATTTCCTTTTAAGATACATAAACGGCTGAAGTATCAAATTCTACAATTTACATTGAGCGATAAGTGCAACGCTAAGCCGGGAGGTTTTAGTCATAATTTGGCTAAGTAATGATAACAGTGTACGATATGAAGATCCACATCTGCTGTGATGAATATGACGTACGAGCTGCAGCTTCTTAGTGGAAGAATAAAGGGATTCATAGGAGTTACAGCACTATTTGTAGACGTAACACATCGGTATGCTCTGACACTTCAGCTTCAGAAGCTGAGCTTCATCCTTCGGTACGCCTCATCAACCACATCTTTCCTGTACAGTTAAACAGTCAGTAGATCAGGTCACAGCGCTGCGCACGCTGCAAGTTGCTGACCTACGTCCTTTCACATTCTCTGTCTCGGGTTATTGCTAGCCTTTGTCATTTCTGCCAACTTGGCAGTAGTAGTACTACTGTAGTGCTGCATGATTTTTAAAAACTTCATTCCTCTCGTGCTTGTGAAATTGTTGCTGACCTTTCTGCATCCTCCTCTGAGCAGTGACTCACGCCGCTCTCTCCTCTACCTCCTGTAGGAGGAGAACCATCCTCCAGAGGGAGAAAAAGAGGAGCCTCTGGTGGCTCCGGTCGTTGAGGAGAGCCAGAAGTCGTCTTCGGACAACTTTCAAGAGCGGCGATCCCTGGCCATCGCGGCCAAAGCTCAGGAGATAGAGAAGGTACCTGTCCAACTCCAGTTTACACTCAGATGATCTGTGGACTGGGGGGGAGGGCGGGGGCAAGTAGTTCAGTGTAAAAAAAAAATAACATCGTGTGTGTGTGTGTGTGTGTGTGTGTGAACATTTTGTGCCAGTGGAAAACAACTGCATTTCCAATCCTCTCATTACAAGTTATTCATTTGTAAGAGTTTTCTATAAACGTCAACCTGGTGCATGCACGGTCCGTGCTGTGCGCTTGGCAAACGATCCCGTACATGTGGTGGCCTCGACTTCTCTGGCTCACACCTGGATTATTTTACTGGATGGGCTTTACTGGAACAGCCGGCCATTATGTTCCCAACAAGGCAGGAAATTAACTTCTCTGTCCACCAGTCACAGGGGCGGGCACATCCTGAAGTCCACCAATCGACAGCTAGATATCAGTTTCGGAGCAGAATGGTGGTTAATTATCTGCCGAAGTAGCTGGTCGCCAAATCTATCACCAGTTTCCTGGTTGCTCTTGCTAATCTCCCATCCTGACTGGCATGACGGCAACAATTGCTCATTATACCCTCTGCTAGCTTAATGTCCCACATGGCTCCAACATCCCAACTCTCTCCCTCTGAGTTTGACTCATCTTTGCATACACACACACACACACACACACGAAGGCCCGCACACAGAGATTTAGAACATTAGGATAATGTGTATCCTACAGGAACACACAATGGAAAGCAGGAACACGAGTAAAGCACAGGCATGGTATAGATTTGAGCATACAATAAATCGAGAGCTTAACGGAGCTAAAAACCGCCCCCGAGGCTCCAGCTCTGCTCAGTTATCTAATGAAGGCCATTCCTGCACCAGTGAGCGCTACCGCTGCTTTACTGGGACCATTAAACCCGAGCCAGCTCTGCCCTGGAGCGCACACCGCGCTCTCACGTTGAGCTGCGCCACAGAGCCTATAGGCGGGTTATAACGCTGTTGCTGACGCTGCAGCTTCTGGCCCGTTTTATAGCCCGTCTCCTCCTCCTTGAGCTCTATTGTGTGAGCTTTATTTCACGTTTTCAGGTCATTTCATACAGCGTGCATTTTGGGAAGACCCATGTCAAGAATCTTTTAGGTGTTGGTCATGTATCTATGTCTGTATGACTCCTGCCCGCTTGCTTCAATCTTCAGATGTAGTCATGAAATGAAGGTCTGGAAAGAGTAGATTAGATGGAAAAAGCAGAGGGAACAGTGTATTCCGTGTTCACAGGGATATGAAGTTTCACTTTTTCTTTCCAGGATTTCTGAATTCTTTTGGAATTGTCAGTAGAAACTGATGATTATCAGCGTTTCTTCCTCCTCCTGTCCCTTTTTTCTTCGGCTTTTGTGATATTCAGACCAACCTGCATGAAGGTTGTCTGTGTGGTTATGAAAGGCTGGCTTGTTTAGTCGTGACCGTGAGTTAATTCAGCCTGCTTTCTGTCACACACACAACCAGGTTAGAAATCAGAGGCTTAGTAACATTTTGCCCTGGATATTTCCTATATTTCTGTCCACAAAATCTTTGTTTGTTGGTAAAGACTTTAACCCTTTAAAACCTTTTGTAAACACTAATCAAAACCCGAGAGTTGGTTACCTGCCAAAGAGGCAGACCAAACCAACCAGCCGCTGCAAAGCGTATACAGTAAGCACTTGTCTGCTGGCCGGTGTTATTTTCCCAGTGTGCCCAGAACACACAGCTAAACGCTCTTAATTCGGACTCTCTTTCTCTGACTGAAACAACAAGGTCGCAGTAGGCGACTCGTGTTTAGCCACTTGACATTTGTCGGCCAGATGTTTTGGTTCTCTGCACTCGATCTGGTCTAGCCATCTCTTCGGTACACACGGACACAAACACACTCCAGTCCAGTAGCTCCTCGCCGACTGTCTCTACACTTTTCACGGATCAGAAGCTGAACTTTCCGTCGTCGGCCAGACATCGCACTGGGCTGCATTATACCAGTGCCTCGCTCTGTGTGTGTGTGTGTGTGTGTGTGTGTGTGTGTGTGTGTGTGTGTTTGTGTTTGTGTAGCTAAGTGAAATTGGTCCGCTGAAATTCAACCTGAAACCGCTCTCATTGTCGACGTTGACTTTGGCTGCAGTACAGACTAACTGGTTCTAGTGAGTGACAAGGCATGAGGGGCAATAAAGGGTATTATGTTTTACTCCTCACAGGCCATGCTGCGATACAAAGGGAGTTTTATTTCATTTGGTGAGGAATCTAAATATGTTTGGCAACAAGACAGAAAGCAAAGACTGTTCCAGTCTTCTTTTTAGGAACAAAGATGGCAGAACTGGACTGAGGCCCCAACTCTTTCACTCCCACACGCTCCCCCCTAATCCTTGCTTTAACTCTCTATTTAAAATACAGTTTAAAGACGTTTTTTAGAAGCACGGACGGCTCTGGACCGACTCCGCCCGAAGTCAAGTACTCGCCTTTTTTTTCCTTCCTGATTGGATAACAAGGGAGGGATCTCAGGATGTGTGTTTTTAAATACAGGAAGTACATTTTCAGCACATTGTTATCTAGGAACGACTTTCCCTTTATTCATAGAAGTTGTTGTCAGCGCACTTGATTGGATACTTCCTCCGAAAATGTGATGAATACATTCACTGTCATCAAGCTATCAGCTGTTGAATGAGACCACAGGAGGTTGATAAGACATTGAAAGGACAGGGTGATGTACTAACTTTAGCGCAGGGCTATCGGGGGTTTGTTTTTTGAACAGATTTGTTATTCTAACTTGTTCCACTTGATCATTTATTGTACATGACGATGTACATGTACAACAGAAACGCCCAGGATGTGTTCATTTTACGAAAGCAGTCTTTCCTGAAACTGTTCCCCACAAACGTATCCAATCCAGCAGAAATCATCTTCAGTGAAGTCTTGCCGCGGTCGATAATATCAGGAGAACGTGGTTTCGGAGACGTTATAAGCCTCACACTGTTTTTGTTCACCATAGCTTTTATACAGTAGACATATTTTTGTTTGATGCCCGCTCTGGAAAGTTGCCAACTCTTATTTTCCAAGTACATAAACTCAGTTTGACAGCAGATCTTCATTTTGCGATCTGTCCTCTTCTCCAACATGCTCTGTCCGGGAACATTGTGAGAAAACAAAGGCTATAAATAAACCAGCGAGGTTGAAAAGCCCAGCAGCACAGAAGCCACCGTTGGTATCCGGTGAAACTCACCCCTGTCTGGCCTAATTATACACACACACACACAGGCATATGTGTAAACGCACAGATCCGCACACAACCCTTGCCGTTGGATGGGCCCTTGTGTCCGGTCTGCGGCACGAATTAATAAGTTGTATCGGATTGACCAAGACGAAAGGAGGCACAGAGAGACTGACTAGAGAAGGAAATTAGTCATGAAATAGTGGAAGGACAGATGGAAGAAAACGGAGAAGAGAGAGCAGCACTCTACAGGGAAATGAAGGTTTCTGAGGTCTGTCAGTGTGGAGCATCAGACTGTCCAATTAGAAAAGGTCCTCATCGTGTGATGTGTATTTTATTGATTTATTGTTGGGAAATTGTAATCCTTTTTATTAGATGGCAATAATGGAGGGTCAACAGGAAACGAGGGAGAACTTTTACTTCTCCTCGAAAATGGAACCTAACATACAAAATATGACCATCAGTTTAGCCGACTGATATTTTTCTGGAAATTCATTGTCGGATCATGAGCTGGAAACAAGTTTTTGGCATTTTGCAAATCAAACCGCTTTATGTGGAAGCCGAGGGCTCCCTCTTTTCGTTTAATGAGACATTTGAGAGTCTGTGTGAAATAGAAGCTCCCAAACAAGATTCCGGCTCGTCTTCCTCATTGTCCCTTTAACACCTGTTACAAGCCCGTGAGATGCCACTAAAGCTGGGTTTTTATTGCTGATTGTGCCACCGTGTCCTATATGAAGGGCCCTTATTAAACTTGAGAAGAGAAGTGTTTATCTTTTGGCGCTACGTGACGTGTGTTGACACCAGAGCGGTCAGCTCGGGCTCATTGACACTGGAGTATTTACACCTTGGCACCAGGTTAAGCAGGAAGGAAACACCGTTTCATCTCATTTAAGAGCTTTTTTTTCTTTACCTCTGCATGTTGACACTTACGTCTTTAAAATCTGCATACAAATAGATTTGTGTTTACTGTGTGTCAAACCCTATATACTTGTTTTGGTTTTTTTCTTTAAAATCCTATATCCACTTCCAGGTGTACCGGCAAGACTGCGAGACATTTGGCATGGTGGTGAAGATGCTGGTGGCTAAAGACGCCAACCTGGAGAAGCAGCTGCAGGTTCCCCTCAGGGAGAACCTCGGGGAGATCCGCGAACGTTGCCTGGAGGACCTCAAACACTTCATCAGCGAGCTGGACGAGGTGGTCCGGCAGTCGGAACCTTCTGTCTGTGACTCGACCACCCCATCGACAGCCCTGACGGGTCATAAACTTTCAAAGACGGGAGTCAATCACAGCTCGTCTTTCTGACACGTCGGCCATCAGGTGCGTGGAAGGATTGACTTGTGAACATGGTGGATATCTTGAATACATTGTTGCTGGACTTGGAACTATAGCACAGCGAAGTGACAACAAACTCAAAATGGAATTGATGCAGCGTTGCATTGTATTTGGGGATGAACAGTGTTAATTTCAAACAGACCATTTTTTACTACTTTTCTCTGTTGAAAGATGGAGATTATGAAATGATGTTCAAAGTTGTTTCACTGTCAAATCTTTTAGTCTTAAATCACATGGAAATGGTTAACATGAGTATTTTGTTATTTAAACAATTTTGGTGAAAATATGTTGCTGAGAATAGACAGTCAGTCCTGCAGCATGAACACACTTTTCTAAAAGATAAGACGATGTTTTGTTTTGTACTATTTTCAGTTATGTACATTCTGTGGCAGTCAGACGTATGACTTGGTGCTGCTAAATTTACAGTTCTACATTCTTGTATAACTTTGTACTGTCTGGAAATGCCAGTTTGGTTACTTTTTTTTTATTGTGTTGTGTCATTTGCTTTTCAAACTTTAATTTCCTTCCCAGAAAAACCGGCACACGGCTTGATTATTTTTCATGACATAGAAAGAAGGTTGTAGTAAAGATTGTTTCTGTTAACTTTATGGTTTGGTTTATTGTGATCTAATAACACAAGTTACATAAATACCCAATCACAGACAATCCATTTTAAAGATCAGTTTATTGGTATAATTAAACTCCATTTTAGTGTTTCATTGTGTCTCCCACAGCCATACTTATATTTTGGTATTTTAGTATAGTCTCCTATAACAATGAAGCAACAAGCATCACTTTAAAATTCATTTAAAATGCAAAAGCTAGCAAATTTTCTTTCAACTTCCAGCAGATCCCAATGCTGCCCCACAAAACCCCACAAACTCTTCAGTGCATCTTACTGTTAACATCACTACAATCTGAGGGTTACAAAATGTCATTTGAAAATGAACATTATCAGAAAAAAGGACAACCATTCCTGAAACTTTGAGGAGAAAATTATTTATTACAAGCGTCTTTACATCATGAAGCATTTAGCTGGTTATGTCAGAGCAAGGGTATTGAACAGGTCAGCTGAATTTGGATAATGCAGGTGTTCCTGCCGTACGTATCATAGTTTGTACACCAATAGCGTTGCCGAATATGTCATAAACATTGTTACAGAGTAACATGGCACTTTATTGTGAACAGCACAGTTTATGAAGTGGCACCTTCTTGGTTTCTCATGAAATATTAACGAGGTCTGTTTTGTTTACCGTTACAACTGCTATTTTTATCTATCATTCACTTGGACAGAAACAATTCTTAAAACCACGGATATAAAAAATAGCAGTATTAAAATCTTAACTTAGTATATACATAATCATTTGTACTATCATGCATTAAATAATTTTTTGGTTTGCTTCTATTTTCTACGTCAACTCCTGTGTTCAGTAAGTATCCACTTTAATGCACACAAAGATATTGCTGCAAAACTTTTAACTGAACATTGAACATGGAGGGAAAAAAAAAAAACAGCAAATTCTGCAATGAAAGAAAAAGTCGCCACTCTGCCAACTCTGCATAATTCTGGTCTGCACTGTCTTAAGACAGGCTTCCATATGTACGAGTACATCTTGTTAGTGCTAAATTCAATAAGACCCAGTATATGGGGTCAATTTGCACACACAAGAGATTTTCTGACTATATGTTGCACAAATCTGTCTTCGCAGTTTGATTTCTTCTTTCAGTAGATCCGTGCCTGAAATATATGCATCTTGACCTTCTGTTAGGGCATAATACGCAGTCTGTGCACATTGTTTGCTTCAAACTGCCTTTCTAAACCCAGATTTGATCCGTCATATAATCAGAAAATCTGACTTTATTGCTAAGTGTAGTGCAGGTTATAATGTAAATGCACTCTGAGCTGTTAAGAGATGATACAGTTTTTGGAGCGGTGGCCTTTTCTGCGACCAGTCTGTGAGCCGTGGCTCTGGGAGGAGAGGGCTGTAACCCTCGTCGGGTAGTCCTCAGCGTAGTAGCACCCACCCGCTCGAGGCTGAGGGATTGGCTGGCCCAGGAAATAGCCCTCCTCCTCAGAGTCTGACGATGAGGAAGAGCAAGTGGAACAACAGTCGTCCTCATCTCTGTAGAGACCCATGAATTGCTCGACTCGTGGGTCTCCTTGAGCTGAGCTCTGAAGCATATAGTCAGAACGGGTTTGGGAGTAGGCCAAGGGTAGCCTGTTTGCAGGATGCTGTAGGAGCATGGCACCACATGGAGAGTTTACCAGACCCTGCTGCTGGGGCTCATACGGCCTCTGTGCTTTCTCCAAAGGCATCATGTGAAGGTTGTTGTCCGAGCGAGTTTTGCGGCTCCTGTGGTGTTGCCGGTGTTGGTGCTGCCTGCTGCGTCCATGTTGGCTCGTTGGACGACTTTTCTCTCTGCCCATCTCTTCTGGGCAGTACGCCCTCCGCTGTGGCCTCTCACTCATGGGATGCCTTCTAATATTGACATCGAATCCATCATTGTAACCATTGTCCACAGTGTCCTCTGAGAACTTGACCATCTGAGGAGGCCTGGATTGGGACCTGCTCCTCCTCAGAGCTGGGGCATGGACAAAGGAGGGTGGGAGGCCTTCCAAATTTGGGGACAATGAGAGGTGTCCTCCTGGTGTGCCTCTCCTCTTTGACAATGCTACCTCCTCATCTCCCTTCTCCATGTTTAGGTTGAGAGAGTTGGCACTGTGGTGAAGATGAGATGAATTAAAGGTTCCCATGTTGCTCATCTTCTCGCAGTCATCTGCCACTGAGGGATCCTGTATGGCGAGTGTGTAGACTATAGGTCTATCCCTACCTTCTCCATCCACTGATGCACCTAAAAAGAGCAAACAGGACAGACAAGTTTTGAACAGCTGTTCAATAGAAAAAGAAAGCACATTTTTCTACTGAATACATGCAACCAACAGTCTCCTTACCAGTGATGTTTGAGAGCGCCAGGGAGTCCATGGAGTCTCCAGCACCCTGCTCGGCTTTCCTCAGCTCATCAGCGATGCACTCAAGGGAATCTTCATACCACTGCCTGGTGTCTGGCCAGAAGGCCCGTCTCCCTGTCCCAGATTGGTCCTGATCCTGGTCCAACTCCAGCTCTTGGATCTTTCTGGCACTGGCGGGACCTGGATGACTCCCGTAGGCTGAGTCTCCCAACCCATCCTGGGATTGGGCCCAGTACATTTCAGGCAGGTGCTTCTTGCTCATCAATCCAGGGCTAAGGCTGTTGGCTCGGGATTGATTGGAAGTCTGGCTCTGGGTGGGACTAGCAGGGGTGGGAGAGGAGGCGCTATCCCCGATAGATGTAGAATCAGGCTTGAGCCAGGGATCAGAGACACTCATTAGCCTGTTTCTGTCACTGCTAGCGCTGGGAGATTTTAGTGATGGCTGCTGAAGTTTGTTTAACATCCCGCGGTCACCAAACTTGAGAAGGAGCTGAGTCATATAGTCCTCATGCTGGGCCCACTCCTCTGGATCCTCCTCTCCACCAGCATCCTGCTCCTCCCGCTCCCTCCAGAACCTCTCCTCCTCCAGGCCTAGACGGGCCATCTTGCGCCCTACGATACCAATGTCGCAATCAGCATCTCCATTTCTATCGCCATCGCCCTCTCCATTTCCAAACTTATAATCAAACGAAGGTACAGCGGCAGGGGGGTTAAACAGCTGTGACTGTCTCCACTGTTCGGCAGGCCTGCTGCTCTTCCCCATGCGCACACTGCGCCGTGATTCACGTGACCGGGCAGACTGGAAGGCAGAATCAGACGAGTCAGAGGCCTGAATATCTTCCCCCTGGCTGCAGGCCTTTGAGCAATAGATGCGACCCTGCTTTGGCAGGAAGGGACAGCCCAGCAAGGATGTCTTGCACTGGGCACAACAGAAGCACTGGTTCGCAGCATGCCAGTGTACACCTTCATAGGTCATCTGGGCATGGTCAACACCTAAAGGATTGTTGGATGGATAGAAAAGGAGCATACTATTAGATATCGTACTTCTGCGCAAGTAGTCAAAGAATCAACAGGATCTTGTGCTCGACCTTGCGTATAAAAAGTTAAGTTCTTCATCCTAACCCCAAGAAAAATAAATAAACCAGCACCATTCAAGAATAACTCACCGATGTTTTCACCACAGGCCTCGCAGTACTCTGCATACAGTGACTCAAAGCAGCCAGTACAGTAGGGGCGGCCATCTTTCATGATGTAGCGCTGCCCCCCTAGCATTGTCTCGCACTCGAAACAGGCAAAGTGCTTCATGTGCCAGTGACGACCCTCTGCTTCTGTGCACTCATCCGCAAAGATGATCTGAAGGGAAAGGCACATACCGCTGTTAGCTCTGTGGAACTCTATGGACTTGGTGTTAGTATTGCCATGGTTCATTGTAAAACATTGAGTGGGTAGTGCTACTACTACTGCTGAGCCTTACCTCATCACAAGAAGAGCATCGTGGTTTGAGAATCTCAGCATGATGGCGCCCGCAGAGGATCTTGTCATTTTGGTAGAAGTATATCAGATCCACCAGCAGCTCTTGACACGTGGTGCACGCAAAGCACGCTGGGTGCCAGCAGGGGCCCAGCCCTGCTCTGGAGGCAAAAATTGCCATCTCCCCTCCATTGATGCCTCCGCCACACTGACAATCAAACACAAACAACAGCTGATCCATGAGATTTATATTTCAGGCATCTTGATTCTTTTATTCAAAGGGGCTTACTACACTTTGGGGTTCATCATTGAGTCTATGACCGTGCTTAATATGCATTAATAATTAATCTGTGGATAACTTTGCTACGTTGAGAGTGAAACCGTGGAGATATACAGAGACATATGAGAGAGATTTAAAAATAGACGTGTGGTACAGTTGATGCTTGTGACACATTTGGAATGCAACATAAACAAAAAAAAGATTATGGAGATAACTATTCAAAATATATCACATATCCACTGATGTTTCAATCACAGCTGATGCTAAAACAAAGAAGGCCAAACAACAGGTGATCACACTGCAAGAGCCAAAGGAATATGATCCATTCAAAACAGATCGGTGAATCCTACAGCGATGACGGTCACACTACAAAAACAGCAACGGTTGTTAACATGGAAACTGTAATTAAATCTTTGTGTTAACATGAGGGGCAGATGCAAAATAACAATATACATGTGAATGGATTGACTTATACATTTTGTCCCATAAGCTTAAACAGAATACACTGGCCTTGGTCCTGAGTCGGAAGATCGTATGACTCCACAGAGATTGTAAGCGCATGTCTGAACGTGCAATCACGAGTCTTTATATAGCCCAGCAGAGCTATGACACACCCATAGGCAGCTATGGGATAGCATGCCCAGCTGTTAACCATTATTACCAGGGTGGACACACAGGGGCCCCGGATATGGTGGTGTTGAGTGTCCCCCACTAGGAAACTGGAGCCTGACAAAGTGTGAATGTACACATCTTCGTGACATATCCTTTTGAATACACAGGCATGTGCAGTTCGTGTACATCCACAATGTGCGAGTCAAAGGGTGGTTGTGTGTTTGCAGAGCATATATGGGACACACATGCATGTTCAGTATGTGTGAGAATGTGTGTGTCCGTTGGGGCTCCTATGTGTCATTACAGTGTGTGTGTGACCTTGCATCACTGTGGCAGCATCTGTGTTTGAGTGATGACAGACTGCATCTGCCTGTCCAGGGGGAATTAACATGGCTAGCCTGGCAGATGATGTGGTTTACTCATTGGTCAGGGCTCAATTTCCCGGAAGCCACGTAGCACTAATATTTATGTTTGTTGCATCGAAAGGAAGTTTTTCCGGAATACGGTTGAGGGCAGCTTGAATGACTCTTGAGTGTTTTGGCCAACCAAATCAAAAGTAGGAAACAGAGGTCCAGTTCTCGGATTGTTTCCAATGTATTGTTTGTTCATAGCTCGCTATGACTCCAACCAGCATGCCTTGAGCAAGATGTCTCTCTTTCCCTGAAAGCCAAGGTTCCCTTAAACAAGTTGACTGAAAAATAGCTTGGATTCATAAAAACACAAAGGATAAATAGGATACTTTTATTTTACAGTACATGCTTACATAACACTGTTTATGTATTTAACAGACCAAACAATTTCTGTTTTACCAGTGAATACATCTAAAACTCTTGTAAATCCACTTTGTTCAAGAGTTTTCAAACCAGCTGACTCTTTTCCAGAAAGTCTTAAAACTAGCTGCATGTACTGAGCTGAGCTGCAGTTGATGTGGAAATATGTGCCGCATACTGAGACTTGTTTGGAAAAAAGTAGGGTTTTTAAGACTTTATGCAAGAATTAGTTGTTAACCTGTAAATTCTTTTGCAGCCTGTCATGCTGAGATATAGATGGGCGGCAGGAAATTTGTCAAATTCCTCATGAGGAACTGGCTTCTCCGCTCGGCTTGAGCGTGAGCCTCCCAATTTCCCTGCTTCCCCTCTCGCCCTAATGAGGAGGTTTATGTCCATGATTTAAACCATCGCATTAGCCAATCAGCCTCGGGCTGCTACGTGTTGGGATGGTGGGTGTTAGCTGCTTGCGATATAAATAACTTAAGACCCACAAGTTGGTTTCCTCCTAGCTCACCTTATGGCTACATGAGCACTAAACGACGCAAGGTCATGTGTGCATATGCATGTGTGTCTACTCGTGGGTATCGATGTGTGGCCCTTACATTTTCACAACGGGTGTGGTGCAGAGCTCGGGGCAGGATCTTGGGTGTTCCTCTCCCCAGTGCCTCCCTCTTCCTCTGGGCACTGAACATGTGGATCTCCCTCTTTTCTTCCTCCGTCAGAGAGTGGCAGTAACGCACCTGCAAGAAAGAAAGAAAGAGAGATGAGTGGAGTTGACAAAGTGAAAGCCCAGAGAGGTTGATTTAGCACTTCCACCCATTAATGATGGTGGTTCAGCTTTCATCTTTTCTTGCAACTTTGAGGGAAGTATATGACATGCAGTCTATATATGGCTGGAAAAAAGGGTTTAATTAAAGCTAATTCCCCTGAAGGCTGTGTTGAAAGGATGGCGTGAGCAATACACAAACCCTTCCTCTGTGTTTAGACATGGTGATGACGGCACAGATAAAGGACCCGAGACTATCCTAACAACTAGCTTGGTTGTTCTCTAAACAACAGTAAACGAAGCCGGTGTGTGAGCTCCACACACTCACTGTCTCGCCCTTTTGCGCACACACACAACACACACTGAGTGCTTCTCCCTTCGAACCACAGTTGCACTCGGAATCCTCCGGCAGTTTTGCTCCCTCAACCACCACGTCTGCCGACAAACATCATAAAACCGCACAGTCAAACACCGTGTGTGTGTGTGTTGAGTGTTACTATTGTGTACCTTCCATGTGTGTACACAGAGACCACCTCCGTCAGACAGTAGCCCCCAGGGCCTCCCCTCTGGTGATAACCCCTCCACCATATCTCCTAATGTAAACTCTATTAACACAGATGTGAAAGGAGTGCTGGGTTTACACACCATAAAGCTATTACCCAGAAGAGGGAATGCAGCCATTGTTTTAGTTTACAAGAAAAGACTAGCAAGATTGTTAAGATTCTACTCAGCTGCTGCTTTATAGTTTAGTTAGGGCTGGGTTTGCCATTTCTTATTGTCAATTTTATACCAAATTTATAAAAATGTGTATATGTTTGTACACATATTTAAATGTCTTCAAGTGCAACATATTGTGAGATGTTGTATGGGAGTTGAAGTGTTAAACAGTAAGAGCCAAAAGCAGGTGAAATCAGTATAAGTGTAATTAGTGAAAGCATTTACAAATGTACTCCTACAAATTCCACTGTTCACTCCAACTGCTTCCGGCGCTTCCACTTCCACCTAACACTTTGACTGACAGTCTCTGTAAGTGTATACTCTTGAACTGGCACCAAGTTCTTCCACTTCAACTGCCACTTCCAGCTGTATTCATCATTTTCATTCCGACTTGGATTTCAACTCTTTTCAGCACTTTCATTTTACACGATTACTTCAGAAGCTACTTTCACTTCAACAGTTTTCATGATTTCTAATATTTGAAACATTTCTTAAAAATGTTAAGCAACAAGCCCAGAAAAAAATCTCTGCAAAATCTTCAGAGAATGTTGCCTTTTGTAATCAAGTTTAAGCTCTGTAAGCAGTTGAATTAACCGTTTGCATGTTAGCCCTGAAAGCAGTCGAAGACTAAGCTGAAGAATATGAAATGAAAGCAGATGAACTGAAATGCCAGATGAAAACATCTGGCATTTCAGTTTAAATTACAGTGCCAGAAACATTTCAGACTGTGCCAAAACTTTACCTTAGTTGTAGTTCACAAAATTAACTTGACTCCTTGCTGTCATTTATCCGTCCCTTAGCTGCAATATCTATGACGCACTTATCAGATTTTGACAAAATTTACAAGACTTTAAGATACTCCGAGGGGCCCTATAGGAGCTTTTATAAGTCATAACAAGGTGGCATGTGTGTTTGATCACACACCCCCGACACTGTCTCTCTCTCTCTCTCTCACTATCTCTACCTCGTTGTCATGCGGCGGCAGCTGGTAGAGGAGCTGTCGGATCCGGTGCTTTTCTCCGGGACTGTTGACGTACGGCACCTTTTCCTCTGGCAGACAGGAGAAATACATCTGGACCTGCGGATGAAGTCGGATGAATGAACTTTAGAGGACAGAAGGAATTTACATCATGTCAGCCGATAGGTAGCTTTGTTTAGTGCACTGGGAGCATCATCCTCTCGTCATTTTAGAGTTTGAAGGATCCTATATTATCTTTCTTTCCATCATACGATCAGTTAGATTGTACACATAAATGAGAGAGAACTGTTGCAGCAGAAGGCAAGCAGTGCTATCAATTCAACCACCGACAAGACAAAGGGCGGCTGTCATTTAAGTCAATTAAGTAATTTTAGAGGAAACATGTAAAGGGGTCCTACCTTCTCAGGCCTGAGTCCCGGTGGCACCCACGCGTACTCCTCCAACGCACACCCAGAGTCGTCATCTGAGGTGGAGCTCCTCTGGAAGCCCACGGATATTTTCCCCATCTTTCCCCCAGTACGAGGCTCCATGTCCGGGCCTCGAGGAGAAGGGCGCTCCCCTCTTTCGCTGCGCTCCAGGTTCATCACACACGGGCGCTGTGGATAAGAAGGGAGGATTTAGGAATCACATTTATAAAACATACCTTTAATTTTTTATACCTCCTCTGTTTGATTATGCCCAAAGCTCTGGCTTTTACTTCGCCTTTTCTTGTCACTGGCTGGGATACATGCTGATTTAGGTCTTTTTGCACTCTTTGTAAATTCCTCTGCATTTTGTATTTGCCTGCAATCAGTCAATTCGTTTTAATCTCTGTTTCTCAACAGTATTTTAAGAGTTGCGAAAGGACAAAGTTTCTCTGTAACGCACAAGGCCATCCTTTCACAATTCAACCTCTTGAGTCACACACAAGAATAACTTGTGTTATTTTCCATCCCATTAGTGGAGTATGTCATGACTTCCTTTGTTTATCCATTACAGAATCGTGCTTGATAAAGTACCCAAACTACTACTTGTCCACCTTCAAAGGGAACTTAAGACATTAGGATGATATATAAAAGGAAAACCATTGCAAGCTTTTTCCAGTGTGGTGCACTTATTCAACAACCAACCATAAAGCAGTACTTACAAAGGCACATTCTTTGTCAACTAGAATTATAATGCTTTGACGTGATGCAACAGAACTTTCCAGCTGTTATCCACCAAACATCTGTTGCTCTTATCCACTGTGCGACAACGTACTGAAGCACGTGTAAGCAGCGCAGCCTACCACATTGTGCTGGGGAGGTGATTTACTTGCAGGAAATCACTATTGCTAAGTAATGTGGCAATAATCTTCCAAAAGACAAATGATCAACCTTCAAAACAATCTGCATGTGTCCACTCAAGACTGCTGGAGCATGAATCCACTTCCAGCTGCTTTTTTTTCTTCCTCTTCACGAGCTGATAACAGTTGGCCTGTTACATGAATAGGGATTAATCAGTCTCGTCGCTGTGTCGTCCGCCTTCAGCAGTAGCCCACTTATCTCAGCAGCCATGTTCTTCTGAGCCCCCTCAGCCTGATAAACAGCACTTTGGTCTCATGGTGTTGAAAAAGCACACTTGTGATCTGCCCTGCTCTGCCTCTTTGACATGCAAATATGTACCAGAATAGAACTTGTTTGGGTAAAAGCTGTCAGAAACGTCACACAGGCCCTCAAAACTTCATGTAGTTTTAATCTTTTACACAACAGCACAGTATCAGGGACATTAGGATGATGACTCTTTTTTTAAAGCAAGACCCTCCCCAGTGTTATTAATAATTGTTTTTCAAATCTCAATTCAACCCTGATTTCAAGCTAGATATGTGAATGGAGCAATAAATTTAACATAGCCCAAATCGCACATTCCGAGTGGAATTAGGAATTGCCAAAATGATGATAAACATGACAAATGGTGCGCCCTGTCTTCCAATCATTCCAAATTCTATACTTTTGAACCAAAAGCTACTAAATAAACAGTTGTTACCGCTGTCGATGAACAATCAATAGGCGTACATGCAAGTTTCACATGTAATAATGTTTATGGAAGGGTTCATTTTACAGTAAATCTAGCAAGAAAAGAGTGAAATAAAATATAAATGTGGGGCAAGGAAACATTTTAGACCCTCCCCTGACCTCCCAAAAAAATTGAATATCCTCCCTTTAGCAAAAATAAAAAAAAACATAACCTTTCCCCTTTTCTGACCTTTCCCACCTCTGTCATAATAACTTCTGTAGAGTCCCTTATCAGATACAACATATGTAAATAGCAAATTGAAATCCTTTTTTGAAGATCGTGGAAGTACTTTGACACGTCTTTACGTCATAAATAGGTGTCGTAGTTCACTCGCCATTCCTACTTTTCCTACTAAAAATGTATGATAAAGAATGTTTATCTTGCGTGCACCCCCTCCAAAAGGTCACAGGTCAGTTGCAACTGAATTCACAAGCAAAACGCTGTTGTTGTGCAGCCCCATCCTCCTAAAAATGTCACTTCTGTCTTCACAGCTCACCCTTAAAGCCTCCAACGCCAAGCTGTTTAGTCAAAAGTAACACGACTGGGGAAATATTAGCATTGCCACAATTAGCATACAGTTGAATGAAGCCCAGGGACACTAAACACTGAATTTACAGATTAGAAATGCTGTTAAAATTCAAACCAAAGCTCTTATCACACAACCAAAAAGGGTATTTGACTGTTGCTTTGTTCTCCAGTGACTAATCTATCAGGTTTTATGGTAGGATAGATAATGTTATCACCCAGAAGCTTTTCTTGACCTGTTCTGCTTTATCTCGACTGACCTAGTTCAGACCACAAAGTTCTGCAATTAGATGGAGTACACGTTTTAGCCACTATTTTAGTGGCACAATGGTAGTTTGTGAAAGAATAAGGGGTCTTGGTTTTCTTTTTTTTCTTGGTGACAGCATGGTTGCAAGTTTGATTTCCAGCAAAAAATGTAGACATGACATTTGTTAATGGACACATGTGGGTTTTTCCAACAAAGCCAAATGGCCACCCAGCATCACCACAGACTTAAACAACATGAGAGCCATCACATCTTACGAACTGGCAATTACTAGAGTGATTGTGTTCCCATTGGCACGATATTGCATGATGCCATTGACATGTTTGGAAAGGAACGTGCCAAAGAACATCAAAACATCACCTCATGCATGAAGAAAAAAACGTTTTTTTCTTTGGTATTCGATTACTTTCATTATTGACAAAATAAAGCAACATCCTCCCTTTTCACAAGCTAAAACCAAAGAATCTGATCTTTTCTAGTTTGGTGCCCTGGTATCTGTTCTTCGCTGCCCTTCAGCTCTCCTGCCTCTCATCCCACAAGCTATGAGGGAAAAAAACGTGACTGCGGATTCCTGAGCCAATGCACACTGCAACTCGCATTACACCATGTCACCCATTGGCAATAACACAATGGCTGTCTTTGTCGAAAACAAAAACAAAATGTCCAAGCATTCCTTACTCTAACCCGGGCCACGGCGGAGACGTGACAGGAGAAGGTTAAAGAGGTTAAAAGGGAAACTCTTTGAAAAAAGGCATTTAAAGAGTCACAACATTGGGTCTGTGTAAACACGGGCCAGATGTAGCCGGCTAACGGTTAATCGTGTGCGCCTCCCCCGCTTAACTGACACTTTTAAAAGGGGCCCTCCTTCGCCGAAGAATTGGTTAGTCAAACACGTGCGATTTTTAAATGAACACAACCCCCGGGCAAACTAAAGGAATACGTCCTAATTTACTGACTTTTACAGATGTGTATCAAATTCTCTCAGTGAGCAGATATTTATGCAAACATCAAATCGGTAGAGAAGTTGCAGCTTTAGTTATCTGCAGTTAATTCAAATGACAGATATGGAGGTGTTGAGCACTTGCCGAGACCAAAACAGTGAAAACAAAGTGGTCTATTTCTCTAAACGTCATAGGATTTACTTTAGGAAAACCATTAAATTGTAGAGTTCAAAGGCCGAGGTCATCGCTCTTTGACTGGCCAAAGAGTGTTATTTTAAAGGCCAAATGGGTGTCAGGAGACTTAACACAGCTTGAGTGAGACCACCTGCACAGACACATAATGAGTGTGTATATTTCTATACACACACACCACGTACTATATCACAAATAGAGCATTACACACATGCAAGATCACCTCTCTCGCGCACAGATCTAAGTTATGGTGGAACTTGGGTGGAAGCATTTTCCACAGCAGAGCTGCAAAAGCGCTCTTCATTCAACAAAATCCTTCTGCATTTTGGCAAGTTTCAGCTCATCTATTTTCCTCTCACCTCCAGGAAAAGCATCTTTCCTTCCGCCTTCACATAAAGCCCTCATTCACTTACACAATCCCCCTGTTCACACAGTTGCTCCAACTCTGGCTATATGTCTGCAGCATCAAGCTCAACGGATCCAAGCTCTTAATCAGATCCAGATCCCACTCAGCCAGGAAGTATTCCCCCAACGTCAGCTGTGAGGGGGAAAGTCTGAACAGACGCAACTTTCACTCACGCCGCAACTGGGGAGCGGCTCCTTCAGCTATCCAAAATGTTGAGGTCCAAAGAGCAAAAAGAGGAGGGCAGAGAGGTGACGTCTGTATCTGGAGTGTCTCTGATCCCTGTGAGTGTGTGGGAGTGAGTGGATGTGTGTGTGTGTGCTCTTGGGGCAGCCAAGACTTGTCAGCCCCTCCCTCACCCCCCCTCCCCCTTCAGAGCAAATCGCCTGCCATTGCACTTCAATCACACACACACTTCACAGTCAACACCCCACCTATCTCTAAAACCCCCTTCCTCCACCAGAGTGACATCAAGCCCTCCGCCCAGCCCCCCATCTCGGCTGCAGGATTCCTGAGAGCCAGATGACATGTCCACTCTACTCTCACACTCTTTCTCTGTCTGTCTTAATCTTTCTAAACATTTTGGTTCTACAAGCCAGACTACTCACTGCCGTATAAGAAATGAGTGAATGGTCATTAATACCAGTCAATTTCAAACTCATCTTTTTACTTTTGAGAATAAAAGTGTAAAAGACCATAAATCGACTCATTGCTTTTTTTTCATATATTTGTTATTTGCATCAAAATCACCAGCTTCATTTTTTTTCCCTTCAACTTCCCTTCAGACAAGTGAATGCAAGTGACTGCATAGTTGCACGCTCGCTGTCATTAAATGCTGTCAGGGGTCATCAAGTTTCATGCAACTCATGTCATTTGCTCCAATAATGTCACATTCATTTCTACTCTGCTGCTGATTAGATCCCGTGACAATGCATGTGTTTTGGGCCCAGCTGCTCCTTTTATCTCATTAACAAAACAGAATATTTTTGCAATAATCTGAGCTAAATCAGACTTTGTAAAAGGTTCTACCATATGCTATTTGATGACAATTAAGTCTTGCTTTAGAAAATGGCTAACAGCACAAAGCTGTGGCAAATTATGGTACTTTTAAACGGACATTAGTTAACTTAAACTTAGAATAACTGATTTTTCTAAGCCACTTGGGGGAAGCAGAAACAGTTGAGTTAATATGGTTAGCTTTTAACACTTGCCTATCTGCTGTTTAGTGCTGGACTG